TAAACCAAACAGAAAATAACGCTTTGAATGCACGTTTAGAAGCATTCAAGGGGGAAGGACGCTAGGACTACGGTCGAAAGCCGCATGGCCAGTGCATCAACAATGGCGGCGCTCGAGTCAGCGCTGGCTTCCACGACGTGCTGGAACAGAGGTTACGATCGTTATAAAGTGAGCTCCGACATAAAGATACGACCTACACGCATGCCGACATAAAGATACGACCTACACAACAAGCAAGGAACAGAACACGGGGTCCAAACACAGGGTAGAAGACTACCAAAAAACGAATATACTTTATCAAAATAATATATAATAACGTCACAATCTCGACAGGTTTAGCGGGACTCATACAAAACGCTGAGAGATCTGACAAATTTAAGATCACTTGCAATGCCATTATATGCCCTACACATACGAAACATGTGGACCAGGATATTTAACGTCCGAGGTGAGTAAAAAGACGTCAAATGGGTCGCTGTCCAAGAAACTCGTAAAGATATCTGTGAGAGCAGTTCTGAACAGTCGGCCACGCCTTGAAGGACTTTGAAAAGGAAAAGCAGATGTGCCTTTTCTCGACGGCAAAAAATTGTTGTGTGTATGTTTATACAGCCTGAAGCTATAGTCTGCCTCAATGGGCGTCTGGTGTCTCACCAGACGCCCACTGAGGCAGACTAACTTCCTGCTTCTCGACGGTGATATCAGCTGTTCATATGGAGGACGTCCAATACACTGTTACTCTGTGATAGAGATGTTTTATCGCGCAGATATTGATATCGATAAATAGATGCACTCGCTCCATCCTAGGAGGGTAGTTTTACAACTACCATTTTATACAGGAGATGCGTGTTCAAGTTGAGACCTTGTCAACGAGCGGTACAGGGTTACAAACGTTGCTGGGTTTTTAAATACTCTTGTCGTTCGACAGACAACATCGAGCGCGCGCAAGGCGCAGGTACTTATACGAGCCACATGGCTATCAAATCTCAAGGAGGAGTCAAAAAGCACTCCCAAGTCCCGCACTTCACTAGAACGGCACAATACGTCTGAGCGAATACCGTAAGGGAAACACGTTGTTTGCGTTTTGCGACTATAGGACATGACCTTGGTTTTCGAGCTGTTTAGTAGAAGACCGTTCAGTGAAAATCATTTGCTACATTAGTTTATGTCCTATCTCAGATTGAAAGTTTCTAGAAGATTGTAGAAACTTGCAATCTGAGATAGTTTTAATCTCCTTAAATAACTTAATATCATCAGCATATTACAAAAAAGAAGAGTTTACAATCTGCTTACGCACATCGATCACAAAAATAGAAGAAAGAAGCGGGCCCAGAACTGACCCCTGGAGGTACCCCAGACGTGGCCAAGTACGTTAAGGAATACGCGCCGTTCGCACGAGCAACACATGTTCTATTAGACAAATAATTCTAAAACCGGTTGCGTAGCCCTTCCCAGATACCAATACCACGAAGTTTTGATAAAACATCAAAAGCCTTACTCAGATCAAAGTGCGGATATGTTCTTCCTGACCCCGAGAAGACCCGCGCCGTAGCTGCATTTACCAATCCGTCTGTAAAGAAGGCCATGAGAAGATTTCTCGGACTCTGAGCCTCTGTGACCCCTTCTAATTTTCGAGAAAAATTATTTCAAGCCTGCCACGATGACCCAACGGCGGGGCACCTCGGCCACAGCAGGACTCTCACCAAGATACGCGAAAAGTACTATTGTCCCAAACTTGGCAAGACAGTCCATCACTACAGCCGATCTTGCCACGAGTGTCAACGACGAAAGAAACCACCAACGAGACCGGCAGTACTTCTTCAGCTTATTGCACCGCCATCTTCCCCATTCCAGCAAATCGAAATGGATGTACTTGGACCTTTCCCCCATCGACTCAAGGAAACAGATAGATAATCGTCGCCATCGAAAATATCTCACACGGGACGCCGACACAAAAGTCCTTCCATCAAGTACGGCTGTTGAAGTCGCCAAGTTTTTCATCGAGTCTATTGTCCTCCGGCACGGCGCCCCCGAAGTCCTCATCACAGACCGTGGATCATCGTTCATGGCTCAGCTGACGCAGGAAATCCTTCGTCTCAGTAGCACCAGCCACCGTCGAACCACTGCGTACCATCCTCAGACAAATGGACTAACGGAAAGACTAAACAAAGTCATCGCCGACATAGTCTCCATGTATGTCGACGTAGAGCACAAGACGTGGGACGAGGTGTTACCCTACGTGACGTTTGCTTAAAACACGGCGGTGCGAGAGACCACAGGAGTAACCCCGTTTCAGCTGGTGCATGGCAAAAAAGTAACGACCATGCTCGACGCGATGCTGCCCCACGAACCAGCTGACGACGGAATCCACGACGCCCAGGTGGTCGCTCAACGAGCTGAAGAGATTCGCCAGCTCGCTCAACTCCGGATTCAAAATCGATAACGTGTCGACGTCACCCGGTACAACCTTCGTCGGATCGACGTTCGCTTCAAGCCAGGAGACCGTGTGTGGGTCTGGACCCCTACGCGACGACGCGGTGTCAGCGAGAAACTCCTGAAGCGCTACTTCGGACCCTAGAAAGTGCTTCGTCGACTCGGGGATCTGAACTACGAGGTGATGCCCGACGAAACACGGGCTTCATCACGCCGCCCTCCACGACCAGAAGTCGTCTACGTCATGTGCCTCAAGTCGTACTACCACCGATAAAACCGTGAACTGCGTTTTTGTACTACGCTCGATAGGACTGCGTTTTACAAGTCTCCGTAGTTTAATATGATATATATATATATATATATATATATATATTTTTTTTTTTTGCTGCTTTATTTTTTTAGCAAGTTGCATCGAGACGATGCTCTTTTTAAAGGGGGAAGTAATGCCGCGCCCGTCGCCGAGCGAGTGCGTGCGAGGCCGAATGGTTACCATGCTTGACTTCCGTGCGGAGGCCCCAGGTTCAATTCCTGGGAGCGGCGCATCTTTTATTTCTTCTTTCAGTTTGATGTTCTGGTTAATTCAAGAACCTTGTCGGTCTATTCGAGGTCCGAATGTTCTACGCTCCGAAATTTCTACGCCGATTGTTCCAGAAGCCCACGAGGGTACATAAGGGGCTCCGCGTGGCGAGCTGGGGTCAGACCCGCCCCAGCACTCGATCCTGCTGTTTCGCCGACATCGACGCCTGCGACGCTAGCCTTTTTTGATTTTGTTTTAGCACAAGTTCGCCCCATTTAACGTTTAACTTCCGTCAGTCATTCATCGCCTCATCAAGTGTCATTCGTATCGATAAACTCCCAAAAGTAACCCCCAAGCTGGTCTATATGAAAATCGCGGAAAACCGAAAAATTCGGAATGGGAGCTCTTCAGCACGAGTAACGTTAGAAACCCAAGTTTCATAGAATGAAATATTTATGTATAGCTTCTTCGCGTGTTGATCCTGAACACAGCCCTCACCCATATTGAAAGATCTCATTTGTGGGAGAAATTTTCTGTGTCCAATAAACATATGAATCATACAAGATATATAAGAACATATAAGAACCACATAAAAATCATATGAGAACTATATAAGAATTATACAAGATATATAAGAACGTATAAGAACTATGCAATAAACTTGTGAGAAGTTTCTGATAAGCTTCTTATATGGTTCTTTTATGTTCTTATACTTCTTATATAGTTCTTATATGGTTCCTACATGTTCTTATGATTCATATGTGTTTATTGGACACAAGAAATGTCTCATACAAATGGATTTCTCACTAGGGACTGGACGGTCCCAGAAAGTATTTTCATTTTTCTTCGGGATCCACACCCTGCGTCGCGTTCTTTCTCTTGTACGTATCGGCACATTTTCCGGGTATTCAGGAAACGCGCCTATTTTCCGGATGTTGAATAGTCCCACAGGCATGTGCTGTTTTTTTTGTTTTAACATAATTCCCCAAGACACCGAATCTCTATGCAAGAAAAAACGAAAACACAAAACCCTACACTTATCCTGACTTAAACAATTGAAAAAATCTTTTTTTTTTTCTTTTGTCTAAAGTCGCTGGTTCGAATATTGCACTAAACGGATAAAGTGAGAGTCAAGATCAAACTAGATCGGAAGAAACTGGGAAATCGCAGAATGCTAAAATGTAGCGCGTGTACCGACGTTACTATCGACCTGAAACAAAACTAATAAAATCTAAGCGCTTTTTTTCAATCGAGTAGCCAATCTAATACATAATGACTAGCCCAACTCTCTACTTTATTACAGCCATTATAATGCTCAGCCCTGCGTGCGATCTCGTCTGTCCGGCACGCGCATGTCCGTCGCTTCGGAAAGCGAGCAAATCAGGAACATTGAAAATGGACGCGGAGCCCTTTTTAGGAAAGCTCTATAATAGCCGTTTTCCATTTTCCTCCTGCACCGGTGCAGAAAAGTGTACCGCAGTCTACTTCCGGTAGGTGTATTGAGATACGACCGGAAGCCCTACACTTGTCTGCACCGGTGCAGAAAGATCAAGTAAATCGAACGCAGCAAGTGACTGCGAAGGGCAACGAGGAGTTGAGGTTGTCCCAGCGTGAGCTTCCTCAACGTCTCGAAAGCTTCGAAGATGCACGCGCAGCCAGAGCAGGACGAAAGGCAACGAGCGCGTGCTCGAGTCCGGCTGTTCGAGAGAGAGACGCCCTGCCATTCTCACTTTGACTATATGCAATCCCATTGAATGTTCACAGAACGCCTGACTGTGCAAAGATGGAACAGACTTGGACAGCCTTGACTCCGTGACACGCCACGTACACGAAACGGTGCCAAGTGGCCCCTTCCCGCAAATTGGGCGATTGCGAAGCGGGTCTCTGGAGCAGACTCGTTGACACAGCGGGAGATCGGTCCACGCTCGCCATCTGGGTCCCAAGCACCGCCCACTCCCCCGCCTATTCGAGAAGGCTTCCTTTTTGTCTCGGGGTGCGTAATGAACGCCGCTGCTCGTGGTTTTCGAGCCACTTGATCGCCGAACACCGACGCTTCGGAAGCTCAGCCGAACCCCGAGATGGGGAGCGCTCGATTCGCACGAGTGGCCTGGTTGCTTGTCGGCGCTGGAATCGCGGCGCCTTCAACTGCTCCAGCGGTCGCGGCGTCCGGTAAGGAAGTTGGGAACGCACACGGAGGTTTCTTAGCACCGTTAGGGCGTAAAAGCAACCTACCGATGCCTTTTCACCCACACAGTATTTGGAGTTAATGCTGTGACGAGTGGTGCGGCGCCCGGAGCTAATGCTCCGGGCGCCGGTGGTTAGGGGCGATAGTAATATGTCTAAAACTATTATGGTAAAATTCGAAGTCCCGACCACATCATTATCGCTCCTCAGTCAATGAGATTAGCCGATAAGAACGCCCAACAGCCAATCACGAAGCACAAGCGTGAACACAATTCGCAACGCCCTTCGATTCTTCTAAAGCCGTGAGTAATATAGAGCATTCCCTACATGTTTTATGAACAAGAAAGTCGCGCCCGAAATTTCAGTATTATGCGCACATTCTTGGCGCTATCTAATAGGCACGTATTCATTAGGACTGTGTGCCTGGCGATTTATGGCGATTCTCGCATTTTCTTTTGTAAGTCTTCCCAAACAAACTTTCGGTAGGATAAATACGCACTGACAAACAGCGTCGTGGAAAATTTAATTGCCGTATTTGCTCGAGTAATAGCCGCTCTTCTTTCGAACGAGACCCTCGCGTCTACTTGCCTGCACAACACACACAGCCAATCATCGCGTCCTGCATAAAAAACGAGCGAACAGCGAAGCACACGATTCCCGTACAAAATGCGATTTAAGCAGATGGCATTTTCGCGTGAAGACGTTATCTCTGTCCCGTAAATCACTGCCCGTTTTCTTCCGATCGCGGTGGTTCGCTATTCCCGTGCAAAAAAAAAAAAAAAAGAGAAAGCAGACCTACGGGCTTTGTGGCTTTGTTCATAACCAGCCCGGCTATTACTCGAAGGAATACGGTAGACCCCGTTGAAGGACTCATTTATACGCGGTATCTTTGACGAGAGAGTAGAGCTCACAGTATCGGCGAACAGGCATGCGGTCGTGTGAAATCACTACCGCTTAATATCCATCAAGACCTTAGGTTAGGGAGGGTGCTGCACCGCCGAATTTGTTCATATATAGCGGAAAAACCGGAGACCATTTCAAGGTAGACGAACTTGCCGCTGTCTAAACATCCGTTCGACCATTTTAACCTTTTTATTCGCGTCGCCGCCAAACAAAAGTAAAAGTGATTTTATTTGCGGGTTTTCGTGACATTTCAGCGCTTCCACAATCTCGATCTAGACATATATTTCCCCTAACAAATTATGTACCTACGGATATAGTCTGGCCAGAACCATGGCGCAACCAGATACGCAAATTTAAGGAGAAAACAAGTTGTAGCAATGCAGTGAGTTGCGGAATGCACTAACGCGAGAAATCGATTTGAGCAACTCTAACGTGAGCGCAACATGCTCTTCTTGTACGGCCTGGCGACAGCACGCAACTGGCACACTCTTCTGAGTCTGAGTACTCGTGGTAAGACTTGAGAACAGAGTTAAAACAGTAGAAGGGCAGAAAAAAGGGAAGAAATAGCGTTTTAGAAACCATATTTGTCCCCTTTTGAGGGAACTGCTTGAGACGGCTATCTGTCACCGGTTTTATTTTTCTCTCGTTTTACTGTTTTAACTTGTTTTCAAGCCCTGTTTCATTGTTTACCATCATGATGAATGCGTCTAGAGAGTGAGGGAGAGCAGGAGAGAGGACGTCATAACTCTGGTTCGAATGATTTGAGGATAAACCTCCTTTGTCTCCACTGCGCACGTCGAAGGCGTTCGAATGCGAGAGCCAAACGCCGGATGCCGGCGTTCCACGTTTTAACACGTTCGATGAGTGCGGTGGACACAAAGGCAGCTCTAGCTTTCGGTCTCCCCACTAGTCATTCGAACCAGAGCTTCTGACGCCCCTCTCTCCCTCCTCCTCAATTACTTGGCGCATAGACACCAGCTACCTTAATTGCGCTCTGAGAACTTTTGCGTTAATTGTCCGAGTGTTATTTTGTTCGAGAAGTGCGTGCTTTTTCCCGTCGATTGCAGGTAACCCAAGGAGCTCTGAGAACCTGACATCACTCGGTCAGCCTAAATCCACCGCCGAATCGAGGCTGGCGAGGCAGACCCGGCTTCCCTTGTACAGTCGTCAGCTGGCCTACTATCCGTTCGGTGCGAGCTACGGAAGTGTGTACGCAAGCCGATTTGGCAACCAGAACGGACCTCGTTTCGGAGGTCAGTTTGGAACTGCCTTTGCGAGCCCTTTTGGAAGCCGTTTCGGAAGCCAGTTGGGAAGCCAGTTCGGAGGCCGCCTCGGCGGTCAGTTCTCCAGACCCATCTACAGACCCGTGGGGAGTTCACTGGGAGCATTCCTCCCGATCCAGGGTCCGTCGTCGGCTGTGCTCATCCCCCAGTTGGCGGTCAACTACCCGATTGGGCTGCCCTACGTCGTTGGGATTCCCTACCCCGTCTACATCCCCCTCATACCGACGGGGGGCGGCGGGGTGCTTTTTCCCGACGACGCTGGATTTGATGCCGCCGCAAAATAACTTCGAGCTCGCATTGTGGGACCATTGCAGCGTTCGCGATGAGCTGTTCATTATTGGCGAGATGTCTCTGATTGCGGTAAACTTGGCGTAATATTTGTACCTCGTTTCATTGTACGTCCGAGCACAGTCGAAGGCGCCAACAAATGCGTGCAAACACGAACACACGTACACTCAGCCTTTTTTCGAACATGATGGGATTAGCGACGATGAAACGCGGAAACAATGACCAACATCTTGATGCTTTGGACGCTGTTTGTATTGTTCCCATCGCATGAGCTGCGTCCGGACTTTACGTGAAACAACGAGCTGAAAGTAATTCAATTTTGGAATGCTTAATTTCCGAGAGTGCTGTAGTAAGCATTTCATTTCAGATCGACCGCTAGGCTCGGTAATTTCAGTCTTCGGGCAACGTATTCGAAATGCAAATAAAAAATCATCCCATACCATTATTGTTTTACTCTAAGCAAGCGCATTCAAATTGACGTCAATTCAGCTGGAGTATTTCCGGATAGACGTAAAACACTAACCGCCTTCTCTCAAGCCAAGTTATGCACCGAGAAAGTGAGAGAGACGAGGAGAAGAGAGAGGACATCAGAGCGCCGGGCTGTGGTTGGACCGATTAGTGGGTAGACCTAAAGCTAGTCTGCCTTTGCCTCCACTGCACTCGTCGAACGCGTTAGAACGCGGAACGCCGGCGTCCAGCGTTTGGCTCTCACACTGGAACGCGTTCGACGAGTTCAGAACAGACAAAGGCTTTATGTCTACCCACTAATCGTTCCAATTAGCTCGGCGTTCCGACGTCCCCGTACCAAAGTTGGTGTAGGCTAAACATTTCAAGAAAGTAGGAAGTCGGTGCAATGTCCCTGTGGTGTTTTTCGCCCCTCAGATTTTGAGCCAGATATGTTCGAGAGTAAGAGCCGAGGCAGAAGGGCAGAACAAAAGCAATTGCACAAAAAAAAACAAAAAAAAACACGCGAAGCCGTTTGTGAGTTGTGTCCCTCCGGTGTGGCAAAGTGCATATTGGACAGACGGGGAGGTGCTTACATGATAGGCTCGGGGAGCACAACTCTTCGCTGAGAGCCACGGTCGGAGGGGCGGGGCACTGTAAGAGCTCTTTGTTCAGGTCGTCCTTCGAGGAGACCATGCTTGTAGATGGGCACAAAGACAAGGTGACGAGGGAGGTGATAGAGGTCTTCTCCAAAGCGGAAAGTGGGGCTCAGTACGATCCTTCGGCGACGCTATCTGTGAAAGAGATGTTGTTCTTGACTTGGACAATGAAGAGGAGCACGTGGAAAGGGTGGCGCATGTGTAGAGTGCTGCCTTGCGTGTTTAATTTTGATGCTTGTGTAATAAAACCTTCAATTGCGAGTCAACGCCTGTCACGTCTTCGTCGTTCTGCGCTGCTTTGCCTGCATCCTGACGTCTCCTGCTCTCCCTCACTTTCTCGGCGCATAAGTTATAGAAACCTGCCCCAAGTCCGCAGTAACCTGGTCGCCCTACGTATACCGAGTGTTTTTTCCCGTACATCCTATCAAATAGTTCGTACGAAATCGACGCATCTTAGGGAAATAAAGTAGGCACCGTATGGGTTATTTATCGAGGTACGCGATAATTTTGATCATTACGTTCTCACTTACATTAACACAATGGACTTTTTCAATAGTGAACATGGGAATAGTTCCAATCGGAAGCTCCATGGCGGACAAAAAGTTTTTAAAGTGTCTTCCTTTTCCTAGGTACCCCAAAACAAAAATGCAACCAACTTAATGCCGAGCGATCTTTTTTTTTTTTTTTCCTTTGTAGGTTTTTTATAATGCGGACTTTTGCGCCGCCAGCCTTGCGGCCGTGGCACGAGCTCGAGCCCTTGAGTACCACGTACCACCTTTCTAAAGTTTACTCTCTTCGTTGTTTCGTGGCTGTTGGCGACGCTTAGCGCGTTCTTAGGTGATTGGAACCCAGCCCTTACTACCCAAAACGTTTATTATTCGAAACGAATTCGCGTCTTAATTAGCCGAAACGTTATGTAAGTATTTAATTATATTGGCCCCTCGACAGGGACTACTACAACACCAACACGAATCGTTTTTCGTCGTGATGCGTAGATTTCAAAGAAGGCTCGCCGAGGCTCGCTGAAAGACCCTGCATATCGCTGAGATACAAACACTTCATTCTTGTGCGTTGTGCATTCTCCATGGCGTTCGATGCTGGACGAAGTCATTCCACATTAGAGCCCTCTTGTAAGAGCCCTCTTGTAAGAACTTGGGTGCGCGATATCAGCGAGGACATCAACCACCCAGAACAGCACGACTTTCTTTTGAGTCAGTCGTCAGACGAGTGGGGAGGCGTCTCCTCGCCCTCTTTTTATACTCTATTTTTTTAAAAAGGTTTCTAAAAAAAGAAAAACATCGACGACAAGCATCACCCGATGCTTGTCGTCGATGACGTAGCTCAGCATGGTGAACTTCTGACACCACACCTTAATACAGTTAAGATTCTAGAATGAACGCCGGTAAAGGAAATAAAATAAAATTAGTATAAATAAACACATAACCACAAACAACGCACTTTCAATAATCACACAAACGTGTTACTCATTTTCCAGCAAAAACTGGAATATTCCCCCGCATATTTACAAATGTCGACGCAACAGCTAGCACACGGATAACGACGAAGAAAGATTCCATTCTATCACGAGATTTAAAAAAAAAAAAAGATCAACTGTAGCACTTTACTCGCGTCCTACATGACCAAGAAAGCCCTTAAATAAGTAGTTTCTCACCTGTCGATCGTAGCCATACGTCCCGCGATATCCGCCGCGAAAACATTTGAACACGAACTCCAAGAAGTCTCGCTTTGTCGAGAGAGAGGTCTATCGATAATCGACCAGTATCATCGTTGACTAGTTGCCACACATGTCACTCAAACCGTAGCAGGACTTGTTCCGCAAATCCACGTAAATGCCGCAGTATCAAGCAAACACACAAAAAAAAAAGAAAAAAAAAAGTGAAAGCCGTTTACAACTCCCTGTAACACCGAATTAGAGCGCAGCTCTTGAGGAGGAGGAGGGAAGGGTACTGGGGGTGAAGTGACCGGGGGGGGGGGGGGTCACGTGACCTTGGGGAGTCACGTGGCCATGCCGATGATGTCATCAGTGACGTCACTGATGACGTCATCAGTGACGTCACTGATATCATCGGCATCGTCACGTGACCTCCCAAGGTCACGTGACCCCCCAAGGTCACTTCACCCACCCCCCCAGTACCCTTCCCTCTTCCTCCTCAAGAGCTGCGCTCTAATTCGGTGTTACAGGGAGTTTAAACGGCTTCCACTTTTTTATTATATCTATAATAAATTGTACAAGACTGCGCTTTTAAAACGTTTATTAATGTCGGATAAACGCGCACGAACACCACCGCGCTGCTGGACAAGAAACATTTTCTTCACGTCCATACCAGATATTTTCTCACGTAGTTGCTCCATGGACTTCCTTCTCCGAAATTGTGACGTAACCACTCGGAGCGCTACGGCCTTCTTTCTAGGAAGTGTTGGCGCACTCCCTCTTAGTGAGAGAGGAAATTCGTCAGGAAGGGTTGCGCTTCTTCGTGAGGGGTGTTGAGCACCGGCTCGACTCCCTTCAACTCCCATTGTTTTAGAGTATATTATCAAATGCTTTAGCGAAATCAATAAAAATACGATCCTTAGTACAATAGCAAATAAAGGTAATTTGTACGTCAAATAAAAATTCAAAATAGTTGAGTTTCACAAGACCGCTTTTTCCGAAAATCAAGTTGGTAAGGGTGCACAGATAGCTGAAGTTATAAAGTGTTTCACGCCTTGCGAGTAGATGACGTGCTCGAATCGAATTGAATATTTACATGGGATGCTTGCAAGAGAGATGAGTCGTCAATTAGATGGGTTATTGCGGTCTCCAAATTTAAACGACGTGCTCGTGCGAATATCGACGACGTGCTCGTATCGAATATTTTACATGGGATGCTTGAAGGAGAGATGAGTTGTCAATTGGATCGATTATTTCGGTCTCCAAATTTAAACACGGGAATGACTTTTGAAAGTTTCCAATCGTGGCCCAAGAATCAAGTGATGCTTGAAAAAGGCGGCCCAAGAGAATAGATCATTTAACTTTGGTAATTATAGAAAAAGTTTTTGAGATCTGATTTTCGCTACAAGCTGAGTTAGCACGCAAGCGTTCGATGGCGGTTGGAATTCCGCACCCTACGAATACCACGTTATTAATACTCGTGTCCGCAGGACATAGGGCCAACGGTAGTGAGAATGACTTACCTGTGAACGCTGAACTATAGAACCAGTTAAATATGGGTAAGTCATGGGGTGACAGATTCAACTACTCTCACGGATAATGGGTAGGGGCCGGTTTTACTTTCTAGGCCGGACCACAAGCCAGAACCTTCGAACGTTGTTTAGAAACATGTTAGCCAGGTTGTAATTAAAAAACTTTTAACTAATTCTGTCTATTATAATATGTAATTCGTTTCCCTTTCGTTGTATTTAGAACATGCTTCCAGAGTTTTTATTGACTTGGCTGCGGCCTTGACTTCGCCTTTCTGTTCAGTATTTTTTATTTGATAGTTACTAAACCAAGGGCTGGCTAATTTTTGTTATTCAAAGATAACGTAATACACTGATTGAAAAGTTTATTGATTTAATTGTTAAGAATAGCCCAGATCTCTGCTAAAAACCATGTGTCAAAAAGGTTCAAGAAGTCGTTTGAAAAATAGTCAAAAGAGAACAACAGCTCTTTGGAGTCGATCTTAAAATATTTTTTAACCTTTTTTTATGATATCGAACTGAGACGGGAGAAAGTCTTGAATCGACAGGTACAATCCTTTGGTCGCCAAAATCTTCAAGAATATGATAAGCGGAAATAAAATGAAAAGAGGAGATCAATACCAAAATCATCTCGTGTAGGATTTAGGACAATTTAGGTAAGGTTGCGAAACTAAGTAACTGACACAAACTCTCTGCATTCCGACGAATCACGACAGACCGGGCGAAGTGAATAGTCACTCCAGTTGATACCTGAATAGTTAAAATAGCCGGCCAAAACTACTGGGAACTTAGGGTAGCTGCAGACTACACATGGTATGTCCGCTCCCGTTTGTGTTTTTTTCGACGGTCCTTTTTTATTTGGCAACAGCCGCCATTGTAAACGTGTTTAAAGTGCTCCTTCACGATAATGTTTTCCTTCTATTTTATGTCTTTGGTAGTGCGTCTTTGTTTTGACGAGCACAAAGAGCGACAGGTAATTCTGGGCACCGAATAAATTGATCCATGATTCGTGATATTTTTATGGTATTATCATTATTACATCCAACTGTCCATAAATATCTCCGTTGCAGTCCGGAACAACAACAACAAAAAAAAAACGAATATTTCCAAATACAAATGCAGGAAGCGTTCTGCTCAACTTATTTGAACGGAACATTAAGCAGGGACACGTGAAAATATTTCAGATTTCCCATCCGGTATATTTCTGTGCTTCCTATGTCCAGTGTTAAAAAAACAAAAACAAAACAAACAAAAAAACTCCTATGTGAGTTTTAAAGAAACGTACCAGAAGTAATAACCAGTATTGTATGAATTTGTCAGAATTGTATGAATTCGGTATATATATATATAGATAGATATTAGCTCAATTCAGATGGCTAGAATTAGTTACACGATGTCTACAGCAGGTCCTTTGCACATATATCGCAAAGTCACGACTCGAAGAGTCTTGTGTGCACCTTCCGTTGCTGCGACGCATTTAGCTCATTGTAGCCCTTTCAAGACATCTATGAAACGTCTTCTGCTAAGAGTATGCCTATCACTCGCGTGGTTGTGACTCGACGTGATATATATACTGTACGTTCATTTATTTGAAGAACGCATTCTTTGTACAGCGGCCGTTTAGCTTTCATGTAATTGCAGTTTCGACTTTTTTTTTCAGTTTCTGTTCTTTGTTTTTGTGCATGTGTGTGTGTGTGTGCCCATTATAAAGAAAACAACAAGCGCAAAACACTGCCACACACGAAATTATAAAAGAGGAACAGACACTCGTGTGGTTTGAAACTCTTGGATGTTACTCAGCAGCTCTTTTATTATTTCTTTTGTTGTATATAAACATTCAAGTTTATCAATATACAAAAGTATCCCTAATGATTTATGCGCTAGTCACCTTCACCCCCGACAGGTTCGGAGACGCCCTCCACCAGTGTACACGAGCGCAATGAGTTTATAGTACCAAATACAACGACACCCAACAATCTTGATGGAAGACCTTCCACTCGTTCCATCGAGGCATGCCCGCCTCTTCGCCACCTCCTTTGAAACAGATTTTCAGGACACACACACACAGGCACACACGTTCGCGGGGCTCCCAAACTTTTCCTCCCTCCCTCGCTCGGTCGCCACGGGTCTCTCATCCGTCCTCTCGACGCCGCTGCAAGCTGTCGCCGTCCCCGGTGCTCCGACGACGCCAGCTGCTGTGACGCCTCGAAGTCGTCCAGCCGAAAGAATCCGACCAAGCGTCGTCCCTCCGTAGAGCCTCGGGTTTGGCCCACGGCTCGCTGGGCACGGCGGGACGTCAAGTCGCTCCAGGGATGGAGAGCGCCCTGCGGTAGGCGTCCGGCGAGTGAGGTGCCAGCTGCGACTCTTGAGGCGGCCATCCGGAAGCGTTCCGGGCGCCTGCGGACGCGGGGCCCCGGCGGGTTTCTTGGGACGACCTTAGTCGAGCGTCCGGTGTCCGAGCGAGAGCGTTGATTATATACGGAAGGTGTCGTCTGCGAGACGGGACAGATCTGCTATTGTACAACCGGAATCGGAGAAGAGCAACTCGTCGCCGCATTACAGATGGATGAGGTCTCTGTTGAATGGAAGGCGTGACGGACAATGCAGCACATGGACAGGACGCTGGGGGTCTTTGACGCCTGACGTGCTCTACAAAATGTCCAAGAGTGATGGATGCCTTTATCATCGAGGAGCGATGAAGCGCGTAACTCTCATTCGAACTTTACAGATGCTATAATTTGTTTTACTTCTTTGTGCATCGCCTGTCAGTTCGGGGTGGAATGTGGATGCGTGGTTAATATGATGTAAATGTGTAGGATTACGCGCATCGATACTGGTCACTGGGATCCTTGGACATTTGATGCACTGATACAAAATAATAATAAAGGAGAAAAAAAAAAGCTAGACAATTTGCAGTCCAGTTATATGTTCACTGTAAAGTTCCACCAAAAACTGTTCTAGTGTCCCAGTTATGCGCAGTCGATCCAAGTCGCCAACAATTGCCATGTCGAGAAACCGTACGGAGAGAAGCAAGAGTTTCCCGGCAACTACTCTATGCAACAACATTCCTGAATAACTCCATATTTCCTCTACCATCCCCAGGTATAGTGGATGGATCCTTCACCACAGAACATGCCTACGCGAGGGAACGTTGAACGGTATACCCATCTCTGTTAATCGTCGCATTAAAACGAATCTTTGGGGAGATTCCCTGATTGTATGAGTTCTTCGCCTCACCATGAGCTGGACCACGGTGGATATTACGAGCCTCCCCAGCCACTCCAGCGGCACTAGCGCGCCACGTGACCGTGCGCTCCGCGTATCGCAGCGATTGACCGCAAGACCACGTGCTGCGCTTCCGGAACCCGAGAGCGTCCACGTGTGGTCCACATTAGGCTGTGCCATCTTTCAGCTAAGGTCCCCCGCGCAATGTCGTCTCCAAGCTCCCGAATATGTTTTCGTACGAAGCCGTCCGTGGCGTGTTATAACTCAGCGACAGGAGTAGGTCTTCAGACGCGTCTCGCAGACGTCGCAGGTGACGTAGCAGCACCAGTGGAAGCGGCACCGGCAGCGTTGCAGGCGTCGCACTGTGCGGGTCTCGAATCCTCGGCCGCAGCACAGGCGGTCGCAGGTCCGTGGTTCTCGGCAGGGTCGTCCCCGACTCACGGGCACGCCCTCAGGGCCCGGGCGACAGACGTCCGCCGACGGGCGCACGTGCACCAGGTCCGACGCGCGGGGCCGGGGACCGCTGGCACGGCTGCCGCGCTGCAGGAGCGGCACTGAGCGGCGGTACTTGTCCCTCAGGACCCGCCCGACGGCTGCCAGAGGTCCCAGACTCCGCCAGCACGAACGCAGGCCGCACGAACCCGACACGCCGTGGCTGCGTGTATTCCAGACCAACGTTCTGTTGACAACTATAAGGCTTGTTAACGCAGCAGCTTGGGGAATAGTTGGTTTTACGACATCAGAGCGCATAAGCGTCTCACAAACAGGCACTCACTGGATTACTGATACAAAAACATACATCGCTGACCGATGTACAATAAATAAAACTTAACACAGCAGCTTGGGCTAGTTGATTTTCCATCATATGCCCTGTGAAGTCCTAAGATGGAAAACCAAATAGCCAAGCTGCTGTGTTAACAAGTTTTATTCCTAGTACATTGGTCAGCGCTGTGTGCATGTTTTTGTGCCAGTAATCGAGTGAGTGCCTGTTTGTGAGACATTTATGCGCTGCGAAGTCGTAAGAGAACTATGAGTCCGTCGACAGTGGACCGCATGTTTTACGAACAGCGACAACTGACGCGTATGACCAAGCACATTTTGAGGGAAGGACGAACCACTTTCCAGTTCTGTAATCAGCTGCACCATCAGCTGTTGTTGTATCTTATTTTCGTAATTTCACAGAGGAAATTCCATTCCCGCCTTCTTACAGCCCTGTGCTAGCTCTCTTGTGTCCCAGAGTGTTATCCCACTACGTACAGCATCGACGGTCAGGGGCGGGCACCAAGTTCCTCCCGGTGGTGGCACAGACCACTTGTGCACGATGAAACGGAATGCTTTTCAAGAAGGGAAAAGGGGGGGGGGGGGGGGGGTATCCTTTAGCGATCCCCCCTTCCCCCTCCCCTACTGGCTATACGCCCCTGGCTTGCACTTTTAAAAGACACACGAAAGGAAGGATGCCGGACACAGCCACCGCTTTGCTCAGAGGGAACCTCGAAGGTTATAAATTAATTCGGTCATTTTTCCAACCCGTCATACTACCCGTCGAACCTTTTGTCGTGCACGTGTCTGACTGTGATCGAGACGCATCTCAAAAGCGAGGCTCTCCCGCGACAGACCCTTTAAACCCGTTGCGTCTCGGTGCTGGCCTACCATCGGCAGCGCAGGCGGACCTTGCCGGAGAGGGCCAGCCTGCCCGCCTTGAGGTTGTGCAGGTTGGCCGCCCTGCGCAAAGGTTCGGCCCGCTGCCCGCGCTGCTGCTGCCGCTCGGCGGCCCTTCCCAGCTGGCGGGACACGCGGAGGCCGGCGCGCACGTCGTCCGAACAGCCGCCCCAGCGCCAGGCGTCCTGCTGGCTCACGCCGCTGGGGCCCGCAGAGGAGGACGTGGTAGTGCCCGGCCCGCAGGAGCACTCCCGCAGCCGGCCCGCGGCACACGCACGGGCCACGGAGTGGGCCACACCGGCGCTGTGCAGGGCGTACACGAAAGCCGTCTCGGGACTGCCTGCGCTTGATTAAGAAATGTCCTCAAGGTAAAAAGAGGAAAAAAACAAACAAAAAACATGTATAGTGATTTTTAGATATACAGAGCGTGGCACATTTAACACGACCAAGTCATCGCCATATTATAAATGCAATCGTTCTTTTTTTTTTTTTTGTCTTATTTTTTTTTTTTTTTGCGAGCTTTTTGCAAGTTGATGTTCGTCCTTCTCCAAAGGAACCGCCATTAGCTGTTGCGGAGAGACCACATGATGCGCAGCGCCTCCGCTGCCTCCACTCCGCGGGAGAAGAACCTCTCCGGCTGTTGCATTAATGCAGGCGAGGCGCAAGACCGACAGCGACGTGCCAGGGAGACCGTGACACAACGGTCTCCCTGGCAAGCTCGTGAGGCGAGAAGCAACAAGAAGGCCAGCGGAACGGACAAAGAGCGGGACGCCAAGCAAGCGAAGAAGTCGCGCGAAACAGACGAAGGAAGGCATGCAACGCGAGCGGGACACGAAGCAGCGCGAGACGAGCACCGGCAACAGAACGGCGCAACGACGAGAGAATACAAACGTAACTGTTGGTTAAGAAGTATATACTTTGAAAAACACTTTTTCAGCGACTAGTTCGGCGTGGCGTAGCGTGTGCGACTGCCTGCGCTTCCAGCCGGGACCAACAAGTCGGTAGAAGGGTTAGTGGTGTGCTCAACGTGCAATACGAGCCTCAACGTCCGTCTCTCCCACACCAACGCAGCACAAGCAACACCTCCTTGTCGTTGGCACAAGACGGTGCAAAGACCGCGCAGCGATTTCGGCACCAATTTTTTACTCGTTTTCTGAGAGCCGTTGGGGCTGGATAACGCACATGTTGAAGCTACCAAAAGGCGTTTCAGAAGTTGCCGTTTAATGCGGGATAGTGGTTTCATGAAACAGGCTTCTTGCCTTTGCTGAAGTTTCTTTCCCTCGCAGGTTTACGCTGTGTCGAGCTCTGTTATGTGCAGTTGCAGTTAGATCTAACTTGAGCAAATACTTAGGGCATATTTTCATGTTGTCTTGTTTATACTCCGTTACATTTACACTACATATTCGGTTAACATAAATATGCGCGAGTGCTATTATGCTTTAGTTTTTCCTATTAGGAAGAAGTGGCACCGCCGAGGTAACGGGCTTTCCGAGCTTAAGCTCAGCACAGACCGCCATCGACATGCACCGTGTATTTCATTCATCCTTCGCTGAATCACTCTTTACTAGCACCCCACTTGTTGGAGGTGCGGGGTAAAGGGTGACTTAATCGTTTCTGAATTACAAAAATGCAATTACATTATTTTTTTTCTTGGGTCCCTAACTCACGCGATGAAATTCAATTAAAACAAACATATAATGTGTAAAAGCACGCCACCAACGTTGCATTTCTGGGTCAAGCGTGCCTCCGGTGACTTGATAAACTCACGGAAGCGTGATATGACCATGCGGTATCCAGCAGCCGGCTGCCCTGTAGTTAAGATCGTGCTCAGAACTGACAGACTGTCCAGAAAATGAGTATTGTGGTGAAGAATACTCGTCCAGGGTACTAACTAAGGTGGGCCTTGGTGTGCGTTACTGCGCGACCAATGGCGCAACGCCATTGGTCGCGCTTTATGTGACGTCAAGCTAACAGCTGCGCTCCGTTGCTCGTTGCTGGCACTCTTACACTTATAAAAAAAATGGAAGAAAAAAAATAACAAACAACAGCGTTCCAGAAAAGAGCGACAGTTCCAATAACGACAGTTGCAATACTCAGCGGTGTCATATACATGCGCCTGTAAAAAAAAAAAAAAAAAAAAAAGTGTCGAGTCCTTTATATCGAGGAATGTGAACAAACAAAAAACAGAAGAAAAACGTGTGCGATCAACTGATTTAAGCTGAGACGCGTTCCCTTTACTTTCCGCGTGTCGTCTTCCATCAGTATTTTCAAAACGTTTTCTTTCTCGCTTCTTGGAGATATTTTAACGGTATCGGGTTAATTAACGTAAGCTAGGATCCAAGTCGCCGATCATCCCAGTTCTTTTCCTCCTCCCCCTCCGCATAAATTAGCGCCCCTTCCCCTCGAATGCCTGCCGCGCACCTACTCCGCGACCCGTCAGATGCAGACGTGGCCCTGCGGCCCCAAGTGCGGCATGCAGCCGAGCGTGCAACCGCACCCAGTTGACTCGAGGTATCGCGGTGCGCGCTGGTCTAGAATGCACGCGTGACAATTAAAGCTTCGCCGCCCCAAGGCGCTTTGGCTGCTGCTCGGTGCAGCAGCCAAGTGTGAGCGAACCCAAGACGTCGTCAGGCGCGCTAATCGAGACATTTGGGGACGTGGTAAACGCGCCAGTCGGAGACAGGCGAGAAACAGCCTTCAAAAAAACGTTGACCTTTTTTTTTTTTTTTGTTTTTTTTTTTTTTTTTTTAAAGCGATAGCATTATAGGCGACACTTTGCAGAGATTTCGTCCTCGTTGGTTGTCGCCGCCGCGAAAGCGAAGAATGAAAAAAAAACCTTTTTCTCCGCTTTTGGCACTAGCCCAGGGAAGTCGGGTTTTCCCGTCGGCCGAGCGGCGCGGGGATAAATGAAAGGGGAGCCACGGCATCCCGCATACAGTAACGACGCGACGAAAAGAGAGTCTTCCGTGTCGTCTGCTTGAAAGACTTGTTTTCAAACATTACTCGCGTAATGTGAAATTCCACTTTGGCAGCATTCAGTTGCTACACGTAATGTTGGACACTTTTAGAAACTTCCACTGCGCTTACCCACTTACTTCACGGATCACTGGTGGCAGCCGTGAGTGGCGTCCACGACGCCAACCACGACGGCCATGAGAATTAACCACGTCGCACCTCCGTCTTTAGGTACGTTACGGCACCATTCCACCCGCATTGCGCGGCTGTGTTACAGTTATCGCTTTCGTTTCTTCGCACATTGTAAGCGAAAAATACGACTTCTTTTGTCCGCCGGAAGGACGTTGCTTTTAACCAACGCGTCACATTAATGAAGCGCCGAAAGATGCACAATGACAAGAAAACGGACGATACATCCACCTTCTTGTCCTTGCGTTTTTTTTCTCTCTCTCTCTTTTTGCTTTTTCATTAGTGATCATGGACTAACTGTCCCTAATTGCTGTTTCAAACGAACGTTCGTAAAAACCAGACGCCCCGATTTTCACAAAAAGTGTGCGTTTGCCTTCTTGTCCCGTGCCTTTTCAATGTTGTGAAGGGGTGGGGGTGCGCGAGGGTACGGGCCCGTGAGGACCGAAGGCAGGGACCGAGAATGAACGCCTCGCGACACCAGTGAACCAAACAGCCAAATTAAGCCCCGGACTGGCGTCGAAAGGCCTGTGGGAACTGAAACCAGACTTGCTGGGAGTCTGCCACCAGCTTGGAGTCATCGCCATGAAGAATCAACACCCAGGCTCAAGGCCGCGGTGTTTCCCAAGAACTAGCGGTGCCTTGTAAGCGGAACCTGTGACTGACTTTACGTGCACTTGTATACAGCCCGCGGTCCTTCCCATGATTCTTGATCATATTTTGGTAAATAATATATATTCTTTCGCACACACCGCTTTGGAATCCCGAGTCCTCAATCCCCTTTTCCATCACAGAGGTGCTCCCCTGAGGACAACTCTCTGCAACAATGCAATTCGCGCGTCTTGAACCGCGAAAGCCCGTGCACGCGCACTCCTGTTTTCAAAAATGCCACAGACAATGCCCCCCGCCTTACTCGAATGGATCAGGTCACGTGACAAGACGTAAAGCAACGCTGGAGGCGGGCACGTTTTTGGAACGCCGAGAGTAAATTTTTGAACACGGCCATAGTAGCCTTCTACACGCTGCCATCTTTGTGCACTTTGCTGTGGAAAGCCTTCTGAGCATGCGCGGTAGCTCTCTGCTGCGATATATTAGACCACCGCGCACGCGTCCACAGCACCATAGCCCAGCGACTCGGCATTTTTCGCCCGATGAAAGAAAGCAACGCGAAGGCCTGTTAGGTTCCAGCAGGTTCGACCGTGATTCGTTCTTCGACGTTTTTATCGGCCGATGCCGCAATCTGATTGGCTGCGGAGAGATAATGAGATGCACGGGACTCGCCACACGTTTCGGTGGCACCGGTTTCCGTTCGTGACGTCATGACCAGGATTGGCCTCGCCATGAATCTGCGATTGGGCGGGCATTATATAGAGAGGTCTAGCAGACCGTTCCGATACCTCCGATAACGATACGATGCATGCGCAAAGGCGGCGGTGGTGTATCGGGTATCGTTATCGGAGGCATCGGAAGAATCTACTAAAACTGTCTGTTATCAGTGTGCAGGAAGCTATATCACTCTAGGGTTCCGTGTTTTTGAATAAATCCGAAAAACGCGGAAAAAAACGCAAGCCGGTAAAATTTGGGTAAATTCGGATTTATCTTTGATAAACTCCAAATTTGGATGTACTAAGCCAAGCCCCCCCCCTCTTTTTATTTTTTTCTCTCTGAAAAAAATATGCAGACGGTATTGTACAATGACGTTTGATCAGCGCACAGTGTCAATGGTCATGAAAAAATACCACCACAGTTATCTTTCAAATTTCGGACCATTCACAGAAGGAATCTTAGTGCTATCTCGCCAAGGCTCATTCAGGACAACAGGTCATTGTACTTTGGACTGTTTTGGTTTCCCTTTTGGGCCATACTACTTGCGCTTCTTAGAGGAAGGAGAGGTTATGTTGTAACAGTGAAAGCTATAGGAAAAAAAGGGGGAGGGGGGGGGGGCAGCTGAAGCTTCTCTATTACATCCTTTATCACTCCACTTCACGCGGTCGCTGGTTAGGTTGATGGAATAGGATGGGATGAATACGAGCTTCCTACGGACTACCTTCAAGAGTTTCTTGATTTTAAGGTATCGACGCTTATCGAAGCAACACTTGCATTCAACTCTTGTCGCGGGACAAATGAGTGTTGGCAGTGGCCATGGCACCAACGCCAAATCCGACTGAAAAAAAAAAAAAAGTATTGATACGAGCGCGTTTATTTTTATCTAGATTGCGTTTAGACAAGTATATTATTATTATTATTATTATTATTATTATTATTATTATTATTATTATTATTATTAGAGAGAACACTGCAAAATTTAACTCAGAATTTCGGAGAATTGGGAATTAAAATTAAACTCCGATCAACTCCGAATTTTTGGCATAACATAAACTTTGAAAAACACCCTCCGAATTTGACGAAAAAATAAACTCCGAAAACACGGAATCCTATATACAATCGCGAATGCCGTCCACAGCGACTCTTTTGGTCTCGCATGCCGCCAATGGAGACGAGAGAGTATACGTACCCCTGGTGATGGTGTCTCCGAAGCTGTGCAGGGAGCAGTTCCACGGCTCGTGTCGGAACAGCCTCTGGCAGTGGGACAGCGCCAGGCGCGCCCCGGCGGCTACCGCGGCCAGCGCCTGGGGCCCGCGCTCGCACAGCTCCCGGGGCTGAGCCGGGGTCAGCCAGCCGCCGTCGGGGCCCAAGCCCCGGCTGCACGCGAGCCCCACGCGGCCACCCAGTGTGCCCAAGTACCTGCGCGGCGGACCTCTCGTCATGGCTGCCGTCAGGCCAACTGTGCCGGCTCTCGGACATAATGCGCATCTGCGGCGCGACAGAAGGCGCTGTTCCACACTGGGATAGGCTAAAGTATTATATCTGCAGGTTGCGCTTCTTACACAAGTGCAGCGAGCAAGTTCTGGGGTTTCTACGTCTCTGCCAAGCACGCACGCTTGTGCTGTGCAAGTTCAGGGCACGCCGTGGTTCAGGGCAACATGCCCATGCTTGTTAAAGTGACTGGAGATGCCCGTTGCTTCGGCTTTGTAGCTACTCGTAATATGTAAAGCGCCCGGCCGCTTGAAGCCAATAACGAATTCTGACGCGTAGCACCACGCGTTACAGAGGAGCCGATACCACGCCACCTTGAGATTATCTTGCTTAACTTTTGTGCCTGACATCAAATTTGCACAAATGTCTGAAAGAAAAGCTGAGTATTTGACCGAACCGTTGCTATTAGACTTTTCCGCAGTGCAGGAGGAAGATACTTCATACCTGGGCAAGGCACCTATGAAGTACCGTTGTATTTGTTTGCTATTGTTTTTTTGGTTTTGTTCGTATTATTTTATATTGTCTAAATAAACTAGTTTTTGCGGCTTTAATCTCGGTCTTACTCGGTTGCGTATTTGTGAACGGCGCTTTCTTCAGTGGCACTCCGTCGAAATCTGCCACGGCCGAAAACTGGCACACAGTTGACGCTGCAGCTATTCTAGTCACTGACAGAGCGAGAACGGCAGGACGCGTATTTCGAACACCCGGCCTCGAGCACGCATTCCATCGATGCCCTCCGCCGTTCTTTGGCTGTGCTTTGCGCGCTCGAGGGGCAAAAGGCGCCGAAGAGGTGTCCAAGGTTTTGCGCTGGAGTCAACTCAAGCTCCTCCCTTCCGTTCTCACCCTGCCAGTGCCTACACCTGACCATATCATCAAAGCCAGACACTTTGTCCTCCTGCGCGAAGTGTACGTGCGCATGTCTCATCCCAGTGTAATGCTTTTCTCTTTTTTCTTTTTTTTTTTTTTTTTTTTTGCTTCGTATTGTGCAAACAATATGCCCAAATTAAAAAAAAAAAAAAACGGTTTTAGCGTAGTGTTAGCGCAGTCTACCGCCTGGAGCGGCATAGTTACCGGAAGCAGGCGCTGCAACTTGGAGGCGTGCTCTTCAGCGCGCGCCAGGAGCCGTACCGTGGCCGCGGTAGACGGCGGTAACGCTTTACTTAAACACTCTAATGACGAGAAGAACTCACATCCAGTTGGCCGACGCTTGAATAGGGTGCCCCATCAACATTAACGTGTGCAGCAACAGACAGAGCCGACAAAGGCAGCGGATGTCCATGGTGGTGGGACGCAGCAGAAGTCCAGATGAGCGCCGGAGGTCCCCGAGTGGTTCGGGACTTGACCGGACCCCGGATCGAAGTGCGCACGGAGCTCCCGCAGCGGGTCGGCTTGGTCGGTCGTCGGGGCGGAGCTTCCGAGACCAGCCTTCCCAAAGGAGCCGGCGCGACGCGACGCGGCCGACACCAACAGACGTGGGAAGATGGGGAAGGGTCTTCGCTCAAACTCACGATTCCCGCTGTGCTGTGTGTTTCAGTTTGTCTTAGAAGTCTGAGCCAAAAAAAAGTATAATGCACTCTATTTGCGATTGAGGGGCATACATGCAATAATTGTGCGAGTTGACTTGTACCATGTCTTGTATTTCTGCTCCCGACAAAGCCAATTGTAATTGCACCACTTCATATATATATATATATATATATATTCTCAAGCCGAATAGAAAAATCAATGTTAACATCCGAAAAGAATGGAATTTTGAATTTGTACCATATATTGCAATATTGCACGTAGCCCTTCAACGTAGTTATGTTTACGCCGAGTAATATAGTACACGAAGAATACCTTGTTTGCAGAAGATGCACAACGCCTGACTTTTTTGTTGCTTTGTGCGTTATATTAATTAAGACTGAGTAAGCTTTTTCAATCGTGAATTCTCTTCCGGCGTTCGGAACAATTTCGAGACTATGTTTACATGGGGATAGAGTCGGCAGATCAACTTCTAAGAAGTTTTTTCTAAATGATAATCTGACAACACGTATACAATTGCCACGTCGCAGGGGCTTGTCCATCATTCCCGCTCTGAATGAATGTTTTTCTCCCCTAAGCACGCGCTTGTGTTGCGGCAAAGTGACAGAGCGAGGGACCTTAGACATTTTCTTTTCCTTCAAATATTAGAGGTGCGACTTTTCCCGGGGATCATGCGATTGTCAGCATAACTTTCGACGACGTGATGAGAGCGGACGAAGGTAAGCGCGAGGGCCTCCCCCTCTCCATGTGCACGCATTCTTTTGGCGTAAGAAAGTGATGTGCATTAGCAGCTTCCGGCCAGTTTAAAAGAATATAAAGGGACCGTTATGCGGCTGAAGATCGGGGGCATTCATTATATGTGTGTCGTTTTCAGTAGTAACCGGACGTTGCTTCAACACCCAGGGTGGTGTGATTGGTGTGAACCATTTTGAAGCACCTTTCAGAGCAGCAAAAAGTATTTTTTGGAGCACACTTCATTTTCATTACTACCACTGCACGTATTATGTGTTAAGATTCACACGTTAGCCTGTTCAACACAAGGACATTGTCTCCTTTGACTTTCGACCTCTGTGCAGCCTGTTAAACTTATTTTCGAGGCCTCGATATTTCCCGAATTTTACGAAGTTTGAATTTCGAGAATATTTGGCGAGCACAATATTTCGCGATTTGGAGGGGTACTCTTAGTATTCCATACCGCAGGGTAATTTATTTGAGTGATTTATTTTTCGCGATAAGTCCCGAAATTCGCGAAAAGTAAGTCCTCGCGAAAATTACGTCGTTTAGACTGCACTTGGAACTTGTTGCCTCAAGAAGCGGCGACTACCAGCAACGTTCGAAAGGTAGCCAGCCTGACTGAACTGCTTCAGCCTAAAGCCTCGTATATTTCGTGTTATTACGTTTCCCCACTTGGCGTTTTATAACGATTTCTCGCTTGCTTCGAAAAACGGATCACTCGGGAAGGAAAACAGTGGGACACCTGGAAGAAGACTCTACCCTAATTTCAGAATAGCTTATACGCCACGCCCGATTAATGTGCGTGTGCACGTTGCTATGATAGTTCTTTTTACTGCGCGAGCTGTCACAATGAATTCTCGTGCACGCACTCATATCCTGCCTTAATTCATTTTGAGCATAGGGAGCGCGCACTTATACCGAATTGGGGTTTATATTGATGCATTGTTTTGTTGACAGTTGTACTCTTGCAGCATAACAGTAAACCTCGTCTTGTTTGGGAGGTTATCCTTTGCGCCTTTCTGTTCGCACAGTGCCGCACAGCAATAAAAACGCATCCGGAAAGGCGCTATGCGGGAACTACAGTGTACTGGCCTCTACGACGGTATACACCATAATGGCGGCCGCGGCCCGGCCCCGGCCGGAGCGGCACACGTGACCACTTTCGGCGAAGAGTGCGCATAGTTTGGAATCGGCGCCGCTAGATGGCGCGGCATTACTAAAGGGTCTATTGCTCTGCAGGTTTGATTCCCTAAAAACAGGACTAGCTGTTTGGTTGTGAATACAGACGCCAGGCGCAGCAACAAGATGCTGACTGATGAAGGACAATATGAACTGCTAAAAACGGTTGTTTTAAGCATGGAGTCAAAGGCAAAGCATATAATATATTTCATAAAAATGATCGTAGAACAGACTAAATTGATGTTTCATTGAAGTTCTAAAGTTTGTGATACAACTGCAATTAATTAAGATAAAAAAAAGCTTTTGTCATTTGAATATGAATATCAATGACGTTTTATATGTAGAAAATCACGATAACAAAAAATTGGCATGTGCACGATAAATGTGCCTCCTTAGAATGCAGCAGCATTAATTAAGTTATCCGAAAGTTTCCACCCACTGCCACAGCTAGTTTAGTTTTAATTAGTATTATTGACTGTGTCATCGCACATATGGAAACTATACAAAGGTGATGACTAAACGAGAAAGATTACATCAAAAATAAACCTAAAAACTCTATATAAATCTTTTCAGACTCCCCAAGTAATCCTTGCTTCAAAATTGAAAACAAAATCGTCAGAACTATCAAATATATACTGGCCGCTGTTTTATTTAGGATATTTCACTGAAAGGTGGAGCTGTTGCATCCACTGCTTTCTCTCTCTCTATATATACATATATATATCCGACGCACGGGTGTGCAACATCCCGCTTTGGACGACTGATTTCCCCTTAGCACGCGGGTGTTGTGCGGTGAAGCTAGATATACGAAACCGTCCTCGCCTTACTGCTGTGCACCAAAGCACGACGAGAAGCGAACTCAACGAAGCTTGCTAACCCGCCAGGGAAGACCACGAACATGAGAAATATTGCGAGACTTCCGAGTACTGGCAGCACGTTTGACACATATATCAACTCGAGTAGTACGTTACTTGAGGCTATAATCGAAGGTTCTGAAAATTCGCATACTTTAAAGGGAGGGGGGGGGGGGGGGGGCAGCGGTTTTAAGATTAAAAGAATTTGCATCTCGTCATTTTTACGTTGTTTATTCCGTCTCGAAGGATAGAGAAAACATCTCCTTTATCAAAAAAAAAAAAAATGTCGCGATTCCGCTGCATAATTGCAAAGCAAAAGTCGAGTTTTTTCCTCCACCTGCAGCCGCGAGTGGCAGCCGAAGGAACTACGGCGAGTAGCTTACGTGACTGCGCTCGGCTCTAAGCTGCAGCATAACGGCCGCTAACGTCAGCAGAGCGAGGGAGAGGAAGTGTCCTCCGAGAGAGCACATGGGAATCTACACGGCGCCCCAAATTATGTCACTAAAAGTGCAACCAGGTGTGACCCTGGAGACTGGGAGTGAGTTGAGGGTGCCAGAAATGCCACTATACACACACACACACGCACACACACACGCACACACACGCACACACACACACACACACGCACACACACACACACACACATATATATATATATATATATATATATATATATATATATATGCAAAACAACATGGACACGCAGGCGAAATCGGTTTTCTGTTCTTTACTTGAGAAGTGTCAGAGGGCAACTTCGACAAATTTTTTACCGAAGTCCGGAAATCGTTGCACCCCCCCCCCCTTTTTTTAACTATCCTGCTGTGTAGCAGTGTAATTTTTGCCAAAACGTAATTTTACTAAAATTAAAGTGAAATAACGCTTTGACACAATGTTGGCGCAAATTCATAATATTTTGGCGAAATGTAGCAAGATGTAGCAGGGTAAGGCACTTTGGCGCAGCAATCAGGTCACTGCACCTTGGACACCAAAAAGCGCTTTAAAGCGACTGAAAACAAATGAAAAAAAAAAAAAAAAAACACATCACTAGCTTAAAAAGTCCGTGCACGATTTACGGACATATGCGGATGCGCGCGTGTATCTGTGAGAGGACAGCATTTTAGTAGCCGCACACCGATTTCCGATTTCGCCTCCCGCAGCGTCGGTTTCGTGGGTGTTACTTCCGCGCAGTGCACCGGTGCCGGGGGGGAAGCACACTCAAAGGTGCAATCCGTCCAAAACGGACTAGCGAAGAACCAACTCGTGCTTTTGGCGTGACGCCAAAGTTATTGGGCGCTTATGGTGCGTTTACACTTGCGACTTTGCGGCCAATCCGCGACGGCGAAGAGCGTATTTTGGAGCCGGGTGGCGGAATGGACTCATCGCTGGCGAAAAATCTGAATCGGCCCCCACATACAGATTTTCCGCCAGTGACGAGTCTATTGCGGCGCCCGACTTAAAAATTTGCCCATCGCCGGCGCGGATCCGCCCGCGAATTTGCAAGTGTAAACGCACCAGGGGGCGCAAATAAAGCTGCAAGATCGCATCACTGCAGGAGCGCGATCGTTGAATACAGATCTCATCATCACATGGGCAGATTAAGAGGGAGGGTGTCAGAGAAGCCCCTCCCCCCCCCCCCCCCCCCCGCCCCCTATTTCAGTCCCTCAAGGTCAATTTTCTAACGGAGAAAACGACGTTCACCAGATTTCTTTAGGAAGAAATGTATAGTTTTTGGTGATATAACGCATATTAGATTAACAAACTAAGATCAGGGCAACGCTTCGCCCTTGACGCCGCATCTGTTTGTGCCGTCATCTCTCTGCTAACCACTCGCCAGCCAGATGCAACGTCCCCCCCCCTCCCCCCCCCCCCTTCTCCTCCATATAAATTACCTGCCTCGCCAACGGTAAGACTCAGGCGAATTTGGTGGGTCACCATGGCCGGTAGTTCTTTTCAGATTAGTGGCGTAGCCAGGGGAGGGCTTTTTGGGGCTTCAGCCCCCCGCCGAAAAACATTCCTGGCTACGTCACAGTTCCTGATCCATACTGGTGGCCGTAAATAAACAGGGTTTGCTGAACGGAAAACCGCTCCAGAACGTCGTTCGACGAAAGACCGTGGGCGGAGCTTCGTTCGATGAGACATCGTTCGCGAACATGAATATCGCCCACTCCGAGTCAAGGCGTGCATTCCACCAAGGCATCTGAAATACCACAAAGCGGTATTGGAGACCGATTTCACTAAGTGTCAGGCGCGTGAG